AATATAATGGTTTAAGCATCATTCTTGGCTTTAAGTATTCTATTACCAAATATATGACATTTTGTTTTCCTTCATTTTTAATAATGAACAACATAAGACTTTCATGGTTGATGGTTTTAAAAGTTGGAAGAGGGTTAGTGGACAACCATGTATCTTTCTTGGTCATAATGTATCTTCAACTCATTAATATGCTATGATAAATTGGCATGTGTTAAAGAAGCCGCCTCAACAAATTTATATAATTATGAATGCGCAATCTTTACAACAAATAGCTCAAAATTGATTATGGCTAAACATTATAATTTAAAGTGTTAGATCATTAGCAAATCAATAATTGGCTTTTAAAGGTAATGATGAGTCCTATAATTCGTCGAATCAAGGGAACTTCATTGAGCCTGTATAAAAATGCAATATTGCATGTATTTGCAAACAAGGTGAGGAAATTGATTCGTGAGGAAGTCAAGAATAACAAATTTTCTATTATTGTTGATAAAGCAGTTGATGCAACTAATAGAGAGGAAATGGCCATCATTCTAAGATATGTAGATTGTTTTGGGTTTATTAGAGAAAGTTTTTTGATACTGTGAGTGTTCTAACACAATTACTTTAACTTCAAAAAATAGAATCTTCAATGTTCTTAGTCAACACAAGCTTCTAGTTAAAAATTTATGTGGTCAAGGATATGATGGTGCTAGCAATATATGTAGTGCATGGAATGAGTTATAAGCATTGTTTATATAAGAGTGCTCATATGCATATTAGATGAATTGTTTTGCTCATCACTTGTAATTAGCTTTAATTGCTATAGCTAAAGAAGTAAAATATGTTTGGCTACTTTTTTATGTTGAATGATATTGTGAAATCATTTCTACTTCTGCCAAACATTATTTTGAGTTAAAATTCGTGGTGCGCGCAAGCTGGCATGTACACCCATGTTAATCTAAAAAAAAAAAAAAAGACTTGAAAATATGAAGTTCAGGAGTTGATAATAACTGGGAAACTTGAGACACGTATAAGGAGAAATCAAGCTTCTACATTGCATTGACCTAGAATAACTCTCTGGGATTCTCATTTTAGTTCAATAAAGAGTTTAATTGTTTTATTTGGAATAACAACAACATAGCTTTCAAAGATTGATGAAAATGGATCACACTTTCAATTTTGTATGATGTTTTCAAATATTATCTTGCTATGTCATCTTTTTACTTTGTTTTTGTCATAATTTCGATAAACAAAGTTATAGGAGTTATTGATTTTCTTTGCTAAACGCTTTAGAAAAAAGATAAAGATATTGCAAGTGTCTCAAATTTTGTTTCACATATAAAATTTCAACTTTAATGTTTGAAGGATAGTGGTTAGAAAAATCTATTTGAAAGTTTGGTATCTTTTTGTAATGTCTCAAATTTTGTTAGAAAGATCTATTTGAAAGTTTGGTATCTTTTTGTGAACGATATGATATTGAGATTTTTGATATAAGTGCTTATTATAGGATTGATACAACTCGTTCTTGTCAACAAAGAGATTCTATTACAATTGAGCATTATTTCTGATATGATATATTTAATATTATAATTGATTTTCAATTGATGGAGTTAAATCATAGATTTATAAAAAACATGATAGAGTTGCTTTATCTTAGCTCAACATTGGATCCTTTCTATGCCTTCACATCACTTAAAGTTGATGATATATGTAAGTTTTGCTGGGAAATTCTATCCTTCAAACTTCTCTCTCATGGATTTACATGGTTTAAGAATACAATTGGAGTATTATGAGTTGTCAATAGATCATCCGAACTTTCAAAATATTGATTCTCTTGCTACATTATACCACCGACTAGTTGATATAGGCTTGACAAATGATTTCAACTTGATTAGTAGACTGATTTGATTGAATAACTCTTCCTGATTTACATCAATGACAGAACAAGCCTTTCCATTTATGAAGGTCATTAAAAATCAGCTTTGAAACAAGATAGATGATGAGTTTCTTTCTAATTTTCTGATCATCCATATAAAAAGATATTTTGCAACTAATATAGATAATGAATCAATAATTGAAGAATTTTATTTGATAAAGGAACATAGAGCACAACTTAAATAATAGTTTATTCTATTTTTATTATTAGCATAATATCTATTATGATTGTAAGACTTATTATGTACACTTATCTTATATACTTGTTTTATTTGAATATAACAATGGCTGATCCAATTTTTAAATCCTAAATTCATCCCACAACAACCTACCATCATTGATACATGATTGAACTCTCTTAATTACTTTCATTTTCAAAGCTATTAGCTTTGCGGTAGCTGCCGAGGAGAACACACATTTCAAGCTTACAAGATAATCTTTGGAGTGCACAACAACAACACGAGTCCACCCGAGTAGTAGAAGACCTAATGTATAAATCACTTACCTTTCTTTCTTTCCTGTGCATAAACTGTTTTAAAGCATCATCCTCGCATGTTTTAGGTTCCTCTCTCTTGTTCATTTCCTTTTTTACTTGGCATATCAAAATGTGTGCAATGATCTAATTAAGATGGAACCAAGATTGATAGAAGTTCAAGAATTATTTCTTGGAGCCCTCGATTTTTTCTAGAAAATGAGTTACTATATGAAAGGGTTGGTGCTTTTTTTTAGTAGATTGGAGTTGATTCGTGTTTGTTGTCCCCTGTTTATTGACAAAGAAATACTACCTCATCCTTGCCTTTTTGACACGATTTGTTGAGAGACCTGTGCATGTTGTGGTCTGGTCTGCTATCAGAGGAAGGTTCATGAGGGGGAGATCCAAGTCCTTTTGGTTAGATGTGCGAAGTTTACAAAGACTGCCTTTTTTATTTGTAGTGTCTGTCACCTTGCTAAAGTTCACTGTCATATGGTGGCGAAGTTTGTTTCTTTTAACTCGGGGGGTAATAGAAAGTTCGAGTGTAGATCCAAACACAATTATAAATATTTTTTTTAAAATATTTGAAAAATATTTTTATTATTTCTTATGTATATTAAAAATTGGGGTCTTAAACAATTTTCATTTTGTACTTTGATTTTTTTATTAAGTGGGGACAATTTTTATTTCATAAAACATAATTGACAAATATACTTTACTTATTCTTGGAATTTTTTTTTTGTTAAGTGAAGGCCTTGAGTTATTATTCAATTAATTCTTAACTTAAATTGACTCTGAATCCAAACAAAACCTCTCTCTCTCTCTCTCTCTCTCTCCCGATTGCTATTATGATTTTCTGAGTAAAATTTCACCCGATAGCTATTATGATTTTCTGAGTAAAATTTCAATGGTAGGCTTGATATCTTAACGTGTTCAAGAAATAAAATTTCCTTCCTTGAAAACAAAAACAATGAGGCTAAACCGACTTTATTTGTTCCTAAAGAAAAATAGCAAGTGTGTAAACAATCTCCAAGTGAGCTGATGAGTTATGGATTCTAAGCTCAAGGCCTTGTCTTCCTCGATCGGCATAAGCTTCGGCAATGAAAGTGACGTTTGAAGCATAGAAAGATCCCTTAATCTATCGTTTCTGAAGTCTGTATTTTGCTCCCACATGGTGACGACGATGCTTCTTTTCAAGGCTTCTCTGTGTTATAGTTTTAGGGCAGCATGTTCAAACTCCTCTAAGGTCTGCTTGTTTTCTTGCATGCTATAATCCCATGTGTGAAAAACTAGGTGATGTCGCATGTTTAATTTGAATTTTCCCAAGTTTTTCGTATGCCTTCGTATCATTTTCATGTTGTATAAATCAGGTTTCCTCGTGGGTTTTGCGCGAGTCTGTTAAATGGGTTCCCGTAATTTTTATTTTTAAAAGAAAACCTCGCATGGCCAAGTCTGTTAAATGTTGAAAAATACCATAAGTAGCATGTTTTGCGTGCTTTATCATTGTTTTTTTTTTTACAAGAAAAAATCAATTAAACAAAATGTTCATCAATTTTAAAACTTCACCAAAATTAAAAAGCTTACTGAGCGACAGACCTAAATTTTTTAAATATAATAACCCAACCTTGTTTTCTTTCATTAATCAAAACAAAAATATTTTGACACTTAATTTCAATTTTTAAGGTTAATAGACTAAAACATCAACAAAATAAATAAATAAAATATATTTATTGATTGAAGTTAGAGATATTAAATTTTGAGCAACATTCATCAATACTAAAGTTAAAAATATTATTTAACCAATATTTATTGATATTATAGTTAAGAATATTTGTATTAATTAAAAGTAATTTTAGTCATATATTCTGATACTAAAGTAAAAACTATAGATTTATTCCATGTAGTACTTGTCAATACTAGAGTTAAAAATATTTTTAATGAAATATTTACTCCGTGATAATTAGAAATATTATAGTAAACTAAATAGTATAACATGATAAATTATTAATAATTTAAAATAAAATTAGCAATACAATTTATTTCAAATGTAACATTATATGAATAATAATATATTTTTTAGTGTAAGCAATCTCTTATCATAATGTTTTTTTAATAATTATAATACTAGATAAAACTCTTAACAAAAATGTTTTCACATGAAAAATAAGATGCTATTTTTTTTTTTTTTTAAGATTTCTGTGACATCAGGTAGCGATACAACTAACAAAGCAATTTTCAATGAACTGAAAATCATATATAGAATGCAAGCAAGCCATTCAACTAATGCTATGATCAAGAATATTAAAGTTTATCAATGGTAGAATTAAAAGTTATTGTATTGACTAATGCTAAAGTAAAAACTATCAAAAATCTCTTCCATGTAGTACTTGTTAATATTAGAGTTAATTTCTGATAGAATATTATATAAACAATTTCTTATCATAAAATCTTTATATATCAATTAAGATTTTTAGTAATTAAGATTTTTAGTAATTATAATACTAGATAATAACTTCTTAACAAAAATATTTTCGCAAAAACACAAGATGCTATTTTATTATTTTTTTAGAGATTTCCGTGACATCAGGTAGCGATACACCTAACAAAGCAATTTTCAATGAACTGAGAATTATATATAGAATGCAAGCAAGCCATTCAACCTGATTTTACCTGTTTGATCAAATAAGACACTGACATTAATTCTGGTCTCCGATACATCTATGGACGACTTAAACCAGCATTATCTACATTCTCTTCTTGACTCCACACTGCACTACAACCATGCATGCATGTTTTGTAGCTCCATTGCCATTCCCTTGAGTACTCTCAGATGCACCACCATGACCAGCTTCTCCATCACAAACCTAAGTAAGCACCAGCTCACGAGTCCATCTGCACAGTTCACAAGGTGAAGTTTCTTGAGCGAACAGCAGCAATGCCTAAATGAGCTGAGCAAACCTTATTACACATTGGGTCGGGTGGAAAGACAAGCCTCCTCGTGCAGAACCAATAACCGAGACTGAGAAATGAGCAGTTGAGAAGTATCCGACCAGGCCAACTTTAATTGACAGTGAGAAATTAAGTAGCCGTAGTGCAAAATGACCCCGACCAATAAAAAAGATACTCAGAAGACAAAATAAGAAGGGACACAGAAACACAAAATGGAACAATCAATTTCAGTATTAGTACCTCCATTCTAGCCATAACACAATTATCTCCATTCTAGCCACAACACAGTTCTAAGAACTTGCATCATGTCTTCGAAAGTAAAGCAGAAACTCCCCCCTGTACCACTAATAACCTCCATGGCTATCACGAGCATTCTAGGCAGGAGAAAAGGAACCTACATTGGACATTTCATGGCAAGCATACTAACCCTTTTAAATTCCAAGAGAACCATGGTTAATTAGGAAGTATATGGCAATGCAGTGTACCTTCTCAGGGAACTTTCCCAGGTATATTGACACTTCAAAGCAATCTCCAAAGTCAATATGCATGATCTTCCCGCTGCAGAAAACAAATATGGGAAAATCCCAAAAGTAACTGTTTTCTTTCCACGCTTTATTTCATTCAGTATCTACTGGTAGCAATGAGCCATAATGTTACTAGGATGTCGATCACCAAGCCAAGGTTAGTTTTTGCACTTGCTTGCGCCATAGGTAGGTACCCTCCAAGTGGAAAATTAACACTCATTTTGCTGGGCAAACCTAACAGCAGTTCAAATTCCACTAAATTAAACCTAGCAAATTGTATAGAAAAAAAGGGGTCACATCCCTGGACAGAGGGGGAAATGAAGGGTTCAGGGATGATGATTTTCCACCATGACTTTTCAAGTTTTCTAACGTCCATCCATGCAAATCAGCCTCTGCTCTCTTGTTTTCATTGACTAAGTTCGGTTCAGAATGATTTAGTTAATGGCGGCGGTCACTAGTTTGTTGGGTTGCTGGCTTAGAACTAAACAATAAAAAAAAAACTCTTTTCGATTGTTAATGGAACCATTGACAATAAAATTAGCTTTGATCTGACAACTCATATCCCATAAAAAATCCAGGCGAGTGAACAAGCCATTAATGTATTGTATAGTATTGCATAGTATACTATTTGTAGGGAATATCAACTAGAACAAGCCATTAATGTATTGTATAGTATACTATTTGTAGGGAATATCAACACTGGAAGGATCCCCATCTCCCTAGTGAAGAAATAAAGAAAACATAATTCCATGGCAAGCAAGGAGCAAAGGGTATGAAATCAACAAAAGAAGACAACAATTGACAAATCATTCAAACAACGATGATCAGAGGTTAAAAGTAAGCAAACGACTGAAATTCATTGACAAATGAAACCATAATTCTTGTTTTACAAATTCAGATCTGAAAATGAAACGCCCCAATTCAAAAACAACAAATAAGCTTACAACAACAACTATAATACAAATTGAGCTTTGAGATTTAGTGGTAAGAAAATAAAAGAAGATATAGATATCAAGCACAAGCACATGTATTATCGACAACAACAACCTCTTCATCTCCACTCCTGAACAATACATACCCAACAGTCAAACCCAAAACAATAGCCAAAAACACTCCCCCATTAAAGGACATGATAGCCAACATCAACAAATACCCGATGGCCGAGTTGATCCCAAACAACAAAGCGGTGGCGAATTTGGCTGAACTGGCGCGTCGTTTAGGGGTGAGAAGAGGGGCGTTGACAGGTGCTGGTTGCTGGGGAGGGTTGGAGACAGCGATGGCCTTGAATCGGATGCGACGATCTTCCAAGTATTGGTAGAAAGCAGAGAAGAGGAAACAAGCAAGTAAAGAAAGGAGGTAACTGAAACAAGAATCTGTTTTCCAAGAATCGAAGAGGAGGGTCACTTTTATGCCCCAGTACAAGGTCATGTGCATCATTTTTCCCTTTCTTTTATGATGAGGATGATCGATTTGGAGAAGGAAGCTGCCTTGCTTCGATATTTTCTATTGGATTTTGTGAATGAATGGTAGTTGGCTGGGTGGATGTGAAATGACGCCGAAGTTAGATCATAGAAAAGGGAGACGGAGACCTCTATGTTTTTTTTTTTTGTTGGGACAGCCAGAATTCTTCTTGTTTTTTTAATCGGCATCGCCGTTTTAAAAGAAATACCGATTATTACAATTAGGCCATTGTCCTCAGGAGACCAGGACAACCTATGATTCTGTTTTCTGTTACTAGCCATTATAAATTAATATTTCTTTTTTAAAAAACAAGCATATAACTTATTAATCTCGTTGCAGAAGTGCATATAAATATGCGATTGCCTGCAAATTCTCCTTGCAGAGGTGCGTCTAGAGATGACGTTCATTTGTTGCCTGACTCTTCAACGGATAGACTTAAGAACACATAGATATAATTTTGAGTGATATAGTTTAATTAGTAAAATTTTAGATTTTTTTTTTGACGAGTTTTAAAAATTTATATTTTAAAATTAATTTATAATAAATTTTTTTTAAGAATCTGGATCCACAATTTTATAAATTGCGAGCTTTTAAGATTTAATTATGTTTGGTATATTTATCCAAATTTTCTTTGTTTTTATATATGTTTTTAATTTCACTTTTTATGATTTTTTTAATTTTTAAAATTTGATCTTTATTTTTTTAAATAATATTTATTTTATTTGGGATTATTTTTTATTTTTCATTAAATTGCATTCTTTTTGGGTTTTTTTAATCAAATTTTATCCTTATTCTTTTTGTTTTTTTACAGGTCTTTTTATTAATATTTTTTGACCGATCTTGTCCTTTAAAATTAAATTAATTGAGAATTATATTTTTTAATTAAATTTAAGTAAAACATTTCACAAGACACAACTTTTAGAGATTAAATTAGATTAAGAGATTTGCTCTATTTCCCCCCCTTTTTCTAAATTGGTGTTGTCTTATTTTTTATCCTACTTTTTTTTTTAACTTTCATTCTTTTTTAATTTTTTTGGGTTTAATTCTCTTTTTTTTAACTTTTGTTTTCTTATTTTTTTTTGGTTTGGTTCTATTGGGTTAGCATTAATAATTTATTTTTTTCTAATTCATCCCTACCATTTTTTAATTTATAATATTACAAATGATTTTCAATTTCACCCCCTATGATTTTTTAATCTTTCAAGTTTGGTTCTAATTTTTTTAATTACAATTTTTTTGTTTGTAATATTTTTTTTTTAAGATTTCATCCTTATTGGATTTTTTCTATTAGATTTTAATCCTAATTTTTTTATTCTTCTTATTTTTCAAGTTTTTTTATTGATAGTTTTTTCAATGATTCAACCCTTCAAAAATAAATTAGATGATATTTAAGTTTTTTAATTGAATTCAGGTCCATGATTTAACAAGTTGCAAGTTCTTTACATTAGACTAGGTTTAGAGGTTTGCTTAGATTTGCTAGTTTTTTTTTTAAGCTGGTTTTTTTTTTATAAGTTTCACTATCTTTTTTCTCCTTCAGTTAGATTAGCATTGAGTTGTTTGAGAATCCAAATAGATTCGAGTGTGGTTTTTTTTTTTATCACTTTATTTATTGTTATTGTTTTTTTATAAATATTTAAATTGCCAATTTAAATGACTTAGAACTTGATATTTTTAATCTATTACTTTTTTATATTTTAAAAAAATTATTTGACCACAATGATGTGTGGGCAATATATCTAAAAACTATCTAAAAAGTGTGGGAAAACATGAAAGTAAATAGGCCAAAAGAGAAAAACAAGGAAAAGGTAAAAAGGCAAGAAGAAAGCAACGGATTGAAAGGACAATACTAAAGTTTGGAAAAAAATAACCCCAAACACAATGAATGACTTGCTACAATGAATGACTTGCTCATAGTAGGGAGCATATCTTGCAACTCCTAAAAAACAACACAACAAACTATAAATATTAGTCAATGTCATACAATACAATGGCAAAAACATATATGAAACTAAAAAAATAATAATTAAGATTATAATTTTAAAATCCGGTCTTGGTTACCAGGTTGACTTGGAATTGGGTTGATCTAAAACTAAAACCAGGTTAGGTTTAAAAAAAATAAAAAAGTAAAAAAGTCGAGTAAGTTGACAAGATTTAGTCAAAAACCCGGTTGCAACCTGTTAATTATTTATTTTTTAAATTAAAATAATGTTATTTTGATTTATAAAAAAATAAAGTTGATCCAAGTGATCTAGTTACCTAGTTCTTGTATCGGGTTTAAAAATTATGGTTAAGACAGTAAAATAAAAAAGAAAAAAAAAGAAAAGGAGAGAGATAAATGTCGTTATTAAAAACTTAGTGAAACCAATGAGTGAAAAAAAAAATCTCAAGCCCAAGGTGAAGGCGCAAAAAACATATTGAATTAGCAAAGAAGGCGCAAAAAACATATTGAATTAGCAAAGAAGACAAACCTGACGAAAGTAGAAAACCATATATTCCTATTAAAAGAGTAAATAAAAATGTAACAAAAATAAAAAATAAGGAACACGAAAAGAGTTAGCACGAAATAGTATAAGTAAGACCTAAATAGATTTTTATTTGATAGAAAATAAGATAGTTTGTGTTATGATAATTGATGCACTGTTCTCTTTTAATTCCAAATTTTGACTTGATTAATGGGTGCATTTGGCGGTGGGACTTCATGAAATTATGAAAAAACTTTATATAAAAATTAGGTTTTTCATTGTTTGTGATTCTAAAACAAGATATTTAGGGGTTTTGTGCTTAGGTTTATTGATTATTAGGTTTGATCAGTACTGAGAGTTTATCTGAAAATACAAGTCTCTTGTGAAATAAGAGATTTTTTAATGTTTTAAGTCAATAGATGTATGAAAGAAAAAATATATAAGGACATTGAAGGAAAAAAAAGTGTTGAGAAGTGTTGAGTAAGAAAAAAATTATGACTTGTTTTGTTTATTGTTGACCTAAAATATTTATAAATCTTGATTATGTTAGTTCACCTCAAAAGAGCTGCATAAAAATTAATTGGTAGAAATATTGGTGTTCATCATTAAATGTAGTATTTAACATGTTATAAATGGAGTGGTCGGTGAAAATTAGTTACGTGTTGGCTAAAAATAACAATTGATGGAGAAAGGAGGTTTTTAATTGCATTGAATATAGTGTGTTTTTGCATTGTTGACTATTTGCTAGAAAATATGGTGTAAACCTTACATTAAAGTGTATATTTATAAAGAGTATATCAATATT